CATCCCATACTTTGGATGAATGACGACTCCTTTTATATTTTTCTCACTTAATTTTTCATTATTTTTCTTTAAATTTTGAAACCTTAAGTTGGTCATCAACATAATGACTAAGTAAAAGCTACATTATTTAGAATATTAAGAAATAAATTATATATTATTTAATAATTGACTCTTTTTATATTATTGAAACTCATGATATTATATATATTAACTCATTTAATAAGATAACTTATGTCATATTATTAATTCTAAATTTTCATCCCTAATTTTGTTTCTCCTTGTCACCACTCAAACCTTTAAAGGAAGATTTTTTTTTTTAATTAAAGCTTTGTACACGAGCTCATTTATGTGGGAAACTACCTACACAAGAATTATATATGACACTTTGGTTTCGCCGTTAGCGTAAGGGCTGTTTGGCTTTGATAGGTTTGGATTTAAAAGCTTATATGCTCATCTTTTAGTTCAAGAGTTGGTAGCTTATACTTGGTAAAGTCCAGGGGCTTAAGAAAGGGTTTGGCATTATCAATTTGAAACACATCAATTGTGCATTGCAATTTGTAAATTTATAATTCTTGATATTTTAATAATTACTATTAAGAAAAACGTTTATCCAAATTATTTACATCTTATTCATTATTAAGAAATACATTTATGCAATAATAATAGGGTAAATAAAAGCTAAAATTCAAAGTTCACTTGAATATAATATAATGGGTACTTATGGTTAAATACAATATTCAATTAAAGTAAAAGTCATATTATATATTTAGATAAGTGTTTTCAACTTTAATAATATATAGATATAATAGACAAATTATTATTTGATAATTGAAGTGAAATTTGAAAAACAATTAGTAAAAAATTTGATATAATTAAAGTATTATTATATGAAGAATTAATTTAATAAGGAATCATTTGTATTATGTTCACTAAAAAATTTGAAAGGGCATTAATTTATTTTAATCTGCTTCAATATTTTCAATAAATATATTTTAAGAAGTTCATTTGATATTTATTTGATATTTTAGAAAGTTTTTAAAAGATTATTAAGTATATATAAAAAAGTGCATATTAATCCCAA